ACAAAAAATAAAAGATTTTTTTTATATACTTTTACTGTGTTTGGCGTCATTACAGGTCTTCTGAGTTCTGTTCGTGACAACGGCCCCAACGTTTATAGTACACTAATGATTTCCTCAAATTCATTAGGTTATTTTTCCGCTTCGAAGTGTTATCTTCGGTTTTGCTGTTGGTATTACGGGTTTTGTGCTACAACCCTCAGAAGGAGGGCTGTGCCAACATTCCTCCCATCATAAAGATACCCCCTGTGGCTGACAGACAGGTGACATTTTCTCCTCATATCTTCTAGAAGATTCATGGCAGGCACAAAAGACTTCATCCAGAGGACCACCAAAGCCTTCTGCCGCTCATGCTTTTTGAATTTTTTGAATCAGTGGAGTACTTTTTGAATGGTGATGAGAAGTTTGACAGGTCCAATTTCACTTCTGAAGGACAGATTGAAAGGCTTCTCTCATTAACAGGAAGGAGTACAGCTGCAGGCCTCCTACAGCCGGGGGAAAAGGCGGGAAAACAATGCTGCTCTCTGATTGGCTGAGAGTGTTCAACCATTTTCTGTCCAAGCAGGATCGAGCACCCACACATATGATACATCATATCGACCGGCTTGGTCTCAGGAATCTAGTACTGAATTTTAAATGTGTAATATGTTACCATGGCAACAATCATAGCAACGACATACATTTTAGACATTACTGTATCAAAGTAATATAACATACGAACATTATTTAAATTTTATGTTCATGTTTATGTATTTAGCAGATGCTTTTGTCCAAAGCAACTTACAAGTGATAATTGGCATGGTGCCCTTGAGGCTAACAACAATAGCATTAACAACAACAAACACTTTTTAGTCAATCGTAGGTCGCAGTGACGCAGCATGATGAATCCTGGAGAGGAGGGAACAAGGAGTGGACAGTAGAGAGGGGGAAAGGTGCAGGGAGGGTGCTAGTTTAGAAGATGCTCTGTGAAGAGCAGGGTCTTCAGGAGTTTCTTGGAAATTGAAAAGGAAGCCGCTGTTCTGGTAGTGCTTGGAAGGTCATTCCACATTTGTGGAACGATGCATGAGAAAAGTCTGGATTGTCCTGAGCGTGGTGTAGGCACTGCTAGCCGACAATCCTGTGATGACTGGAGCGGTCAGGCTGAGACGGAAGCCTTTGCAAGAGGATTCATGTAGATGAGAGCCGTACCATCTCGGACTTTGTATGCTAGTGTTAGCAATTTGAATTTGATGCATGCAGCTAGCAGTAGCGAGTGGAGCTCAGTGAACAGAGGGGTGACATGTGCTCTTTTTGGCTGATTGAAGACCAGACGTGCCGCTGCGTTCTGGACCATTTGAAGAGGTCTCACATTACAGCCTGGAAGACCAGTTAGAAGGGCATTGCAGTAATCGAGGCAGGAGATGACAGTAGATTGCAACAGGAGTTGGGTGGCATGTTGTGTTAGGTATGGTCTGATCTTTCCTATGTTATACAGCGCAAAGCGGCATGAATGAGCAACAGAGGCAACATGATCTTTAAACGTCTGGTGTTCATCAATCACAACACCCAGATTTCGAACTGCCTTTGAAGGAGCCAGAGATAGGAAGTCATTCTGGATTGAGATATTGTGCTGTATGGATGGTTTTGCTGGGATGACAAGTAGATCAGTTTTAGAGAGGTTGAGTTGGAGATGGTGGGATTTCATCCATTTTGATATGTCAGAGAGACAGTTTGATATTCGTGCAGAGACAGTGTGGTCGTCCGGTGGAAATGACAGATAGAGCTGGGTGTCGTCTGCATAGCAGTGGTAGGAGAAGCCATGTGATCGAATGGTCTCACCCAGTGAGGTGGTGTATATGGCAAAGAGAATAGGTCCTAGTACAGAGCCCTGGAGGACTCCTGTGGCAAGATGGTGCATGGTAGAGGATTGTCCAAGCCAAGATACACTGAATGATCGTCCTGTGAGGTATCATTCAAACCAGGCGTGTGCTTTCTCTGTGATGCCCATGCTAGAGAGGGTGGACAAAAGGAATCCATGGTTGACAGTGTCAAATGCAGCCGATAAGTCGAGCAGGATAAGCACTGAGGATTTGGCAGTCACTCTAGCTTCTTTTAAGGATTCCGTCACTGCTAACAGAGCAGTTTCAGTGGAGTGGCCCTTTTTGAACCCAGATTGGTAAGGGTCAAGAAGACAGTTTTGTGAGAGGTATTCTGTGATCTGCTTGAAAGCCGCCAAATTTTAAAAAGGTCATGGCACATTGAACATAACTATATATAAACAGGGTGAAGTCAAACACTGTTTCCATCATGGGAGAAGAAGTGGAGGTGGTTGAGGAATACAAATACCTTGGAGTTCACCTGGACAACAGACTGGACTGGAGAAAGAACAGCAAAGCCGTTTACAAGAAGGGACACAGCAAACTGCACTTCTTGAGGATGCTTAGGTCCTTCAATGTCTGTAGCAAGATGCTGCAGATCTTCTACAAGTCTGTTGTTGAGAGTGTAATCTCTTCAGCCATCGTCTGTTGGGGTAGCAGCATCAGAAGCAGGGACCTGAAAAGGCTCAACAGCCTAATAAAAAAGGTTGGTTCTGTTCTGGGGACGACTGTGGAACCACTGGAGGAGATAATGCAAAGAAGGATTCTCCAGAGAATCAAGAAAATGATGGACAACCCTGAGCATTCTCTTCACAAGACTGTCCGACAACAGAAGAGTGTCTTCAGTCAGAGGCTTCTTCAGTTTGGCTGCAACACTGACCGCTACTGGAGATCCTTCCTGCCAACAGCCATTGTAATATACGACAACTCTTTGATGACTCGATTATTATTATTATTATTCTGAGCTACTACAGCAATCAGTTTCCCTCTGGGATTAATAAAGTATTTTTGAATTGAGTTTTATTTGAATTGAACTGAAGTAGATTCCTGTCATCTGTTACCATGGTAACACAAGTGCAGAAGGATATCCCCAAACAAGTTTCGAAACGCCTGATATTGAGCCTATAACATACTGCTGTTTCTGATCATTCTGAGCTCTCTCCACTTAAAACTAGCAGCATAGCTGACATTTTAATGCTAGTCAGAAGGCAGGGACCGCCCCCTCCTCCTTCGCTGCTCTCTGATTGGCTGAGAGTTTTCAATCGTCTTCTGCCTAAAAGGAAATAGGCACCTACACATATGATACATCAATTTAACCTGCTTGGTCCCAGGAGTTGTGTTTTAACTTGAATTTGTGTTCTGCATTACCATGGCAATGTGCTTAGCAACAACATTTAATAACATTTTAGACACAACTGTATCACAACATACTTTAATATAGAAATGTTATTCAAATTTTAAGAGTCATGTGACATTGGACATTGCTTTATTGAAGCAGACTCTTGTCATCTGTTACCATGGCAACACAACAAATTATGGCTCACTCTAACCAAGTCTCATAGGAATGAATATAAAAAAGCTGAATATTGAGTCAATAACAGACTTCTGTTTCTGATCTTTCTGAACTATCTGTACTTAAAACTAGAAACAAGTTCAATTTGATTGACCAGACTGATTGACTGACTGATTTATTGGCTGGGTGGGAAAGTGCCCCGCTCCCACCCAGCCCCCTGATTGGCTGAGAGAGGTCAATCATCTTCTGGCTAAATGGAATTACACACCCACACATGTGAGACATCAAATCGATCGGCTTGCTGCTAATTTCACATCCATCCACATATAAATCCATACATGCTTCTATCCATCCATCCATCCATCCATCCAAAAAAACAATTTAACATCCATCCAACAATCCATCCATCATTTCATTCATCCAACCATTCATCCATCCCATACCAAGTCTGAACATATGTTAATCTATCAGTTTCACATATCAGTAAATGTTTCTAAATTCACATTTCAGCCAATTGTTAAAATGTACCCATTAAACTATTCTCATCCAAATGCCAGCTGTTTAACATTTCAACTTTCGAGTTTTTAACCAATGTTTAATGATTTAAGTTTTCTGCTGTTTAGCATTTTTTGTCCATTCTTCACCTATATTCTGAGCTTTATTACACCTGGTGGTGATTTTTGCTTCTAAATCTTTAAATACATTCCGCTCATTTTGACAGTTTAGCTTAGTTTCAGCTTCACTTCAGCTATTCAGCAGCTTCAGCAATCAGTTTCCGATTTCTGTATATGCTGCTAATTTCACAGTTCAGCTAAATGTAAAGATTAAACTGTTAATGTTTAGACACTTTAGCTGTCCAGATTTTTAGACAATGTTCACAGATTTCAGTTTTCTGCTGTTTAGGATTATTTTTCTGTATTATTTACTTACTTTTTGTGCTTTACTTGCTTGTTAGTGCTTTTTGCTTCTACATCTTTCAAAACATTCAGCTCATTTTGACAGTTTTACTTAGTTTCAGCTTCAGTTCAACTGTTCAGCAGCTTCAGCTTACAGTTTCAGCTATCCAGCATTCAAACTGCATTTGTGCAAGAAATGCACATTTTTCTAGTTAATATAGCGCCAAATCACGACAAGAGTCGTCTCGAGGCACTTCACACATAATAAACATTCCAATACAGGTCAGTTCATTAAGCCAATCAGTAAAAAGTTTCCTATATAAGGAACCCAACAGGTCGCATCGAGTCACTGACTAGTGTCAGAGTCTTTACAGCAATCCTCATTCTAAGCAAGCATGCAGCGATAGTGGAGAGGAAAACTCCCTTTTAACAGGAAGAAACTTCCAGAGGATCCTGGCTCAGTATAATCAGCCATCCACCATGATTCACTGGTGATGGAGAAGACAGAGCAGACACACACACACACACACACACACACACACACACACACACACACACACACACACACACACACACACACACACACACACACACACACACACACACACACACAGTTCTCTTTAGTAGACATTTTGTTTTTCACAGGTTTTCTAAAACTGGTGAAAAGAATGCAGGTTTTTGGCGTTGTTCAAACAAACAAGCTGCTTTATTGATGGAACAGGTGAGAGGGTGACTGACCTTTGTTTGAGGCAGTGCCTCTCCTGGGACATCACCCCCCCTCCACAGGTCCGCGTGCAGGCGGTCCATTTTGCCCACTCACCCCACCAGTAAGTAGTCACCTCCAGCTCCTCTTCCAGACTGTTGGAGGCAGCACCCTCCTCCTGCAGGCACACAGATAACAGACGTGTGTAGAAACTGCTGCCTCAGTGTGCCGCAGCTCTATCGATCCGTGCAAAAGTCTTAATTCAGCCTTGATTTTTTACATTTTTTTCCTATCTTGCTTCCAAATGTCGTCCGCTTTTCCGTGGTCGGGTTGTCAGGAGTTTCTTGAAAATCGACAGGGAAGCCCCTGTTGTAGTAGTGCTTGGTAGGTCATTCCACATTTGTGGGATGACACGTGAAAAGAGTCTGGATTGTCCTGAGCGCGGTGTAGGCACTGCTAGCCAACAATCCTTGACTTACCGGAGCGGCCGGGCCGTGATGTAAGCCTTTGCAAGAGGATTCAGATGGATGGGAGCCGTACCATCCAGGACTTTGTGCGCGCATGCTAGCGATTTGAATTTGATCCATGCAGCTAGACAATGGAGCTCAGTGACCAGAGGGGTGGCATGTGCTCTTTTAGGCTGACTGAAGACCAGACGCGCCACTGCGTTCTGGACCATTTGAAGAGGTCTCACAGTACAGGCTGGAAGACCAGTTAGAAGCGCATCCAGTAGTCGAGGCGGGAGATGACGGTAGATTGCACCAGGAGCTGGGTGGCTTATCATGTTAGGTATGGTCTGATCTTGAATTTACTCTGTTGTCGCTCACTTCTATAACGTTTGTAATTTGTTCACCACCTCCTGCAGCGTTTTACACATTCTTACTCACGGAAACGTTGCTGATCTTTCCAACAACCTTGTAACTTATTTGAAATAAAAGTTTCCTGTAAACTTTTCGAATGGATTCAAAGAACCAAGAAACAGGAAACTGAGGCCCTTCGACTCTTGCAGGGAAACTGAGAACCAGTGACATACCAACGTCACTTTGTTACCAGCAGCTTTACACAATTCCACTACTGGTTACCATTTCCTGCTACTTGTAAAAAAAAAAACTTCCACACTTCTACACCTGTTTTCACGTTACTGACAGGTGAAAGGAAGCAGAATAAATGAGTTTGAATGCCGGGCCGAAGCTGTTGTTGCATTAAGGACAGTAACAACAGCAGCTGTATGATTGTTGGAGCGTCAGAGGAGCGTGCGTAAATGAGCGTCACGCTGTTTTGTGCTGAGGCTCCGGTGTGTGAAGACGTTCGGCATTTCGCACATTCCTGATATGGATTAACAGCATTAACTCGGGCCGAAGGCTGCATCCATTCATCCAGACAGGTTCATCGCAGTGACCGCTGGAATGTGAGCTGAGCTCCTTGTAAAGGTGTGAGACAGAGCAGCTGTGAGGGGGAAAAAGCAGACAGACGGCGTTCCTGAGATAGAGCGGCCGGCACGTGAGAGAGAGAGAGAGAGAGAGAGAGAGAGAGAGAGAGAGAGAGAGAGAGAGAGAGAGAGAGAGAGAGAGGAAGAGAGAGAGGGAGAGAGAGAGAGAGAGAGAGAGAGAGAGAGAGGAAGAGAGAGAGAGAGAGAGAGGAAGAGAGAGAGAGAGAGAGGGAGAGAGAGAGAGAGAGAGAAAGAGAGAGAGAGAGAGAGAGAGGAAGAGAGAGAGAGAGAGAGAGAGAGAGGAAGAGAGAGAGAGAGAGGAAGAGAAAGAGAGAGAGAGAGAGAGGAAGAGAGAGAGATAGTGCAACATTTATTATTTTATGTCTTTTAGACTTTTTTGAATATTTGCTTTAACTGAACTCCTTCAAGGTATCAGTGAACCTTTGTTGACTTTAAACTTATTTATGCTCATCTTTCTTTTCTGCTGTCCTTCATCTCTTAGATTTTCATGCATTATTCACTTTCTCACTTTTAAAACCTGTTTCCAGGGTTGCAGGCTGCAAAAACCTGAAAAATAAAACAGGCAAACTACCTGCAGACATTCATGCACGCCAAAGATCCAAGCAGAAAATCCTGTTTCATGTGCAGATTCGGCCTGTTTTTAGACTATTTCTGCTTGGAATTACTAAAAGAATTGAGTTGAAATGAAAAAGTCACGTGGAGTTGCGTACCTGCAAGCCTCGGGAGGACAGATTTCCTACAGACACCACCAGTGTCAGGAAGCCAAGGAGGACCACACCCGTCTCCCCAAACTGCTCCCATGACCACACCCTCATCCTAACTGTTAAAGAGAAAGACGTTTGGTTAAACACTTTTTTTTTACACAGATCAGCGTTTTGTGCACGTATGCAGAGCAGCCTGAAACAAATCTTCACCACAGACTAAGAGATAAACATCATCTGAGAGTGAACTCTGTTTCGAACATAACCCCGTGAGCTCTGCTGGTTTTCCACAGAAAGTCGCTGCAGTTCTTCGAACGCCCTGGCAGTCCGAGCAGGCGGCTGCTGGCAGGTGGAGGGTGACGCAGATGGGCTGCTGAGAGGCCCCAAACGGTGGAGACAAGGGAGCTGGACGGCAGAGGAGCCCGTCGAAAGTTAAACAAGCCCCAATGAGCTGGAAGCATGGAGGTAAGTTTCCTTGGACTCTACACAGGTAGGCCTTTGTTTGGCTCCCTGGACTATAAGGAGATGTGGAGGTCTGAAGGTAAAGGCTGGCGTGAACAGACAGACACACAGGAAATGGAGGGCACTTCAAGGACTCTGCAAAAAAGTCTGTAAATCCCCTTTAATAATTTAAAGAACTGCAGCAGCTTTTTTATGAAGTAGTCACAAACACTTTAATAAACCTCATTATTTCCCTGAAAGGTGCACAAACTGTTTTGGTTAGCAAAAATCCAGAAATGGAGTTCTTCACAAATGAAAAATATCTTAAATTTCAGTAAATAAATCAATAAAAAGAGACGAGTGAGTTCTGTGGATCCCGCTCACATCCCGCGGACGCCCCACACATTAAACGTTAGGAGACATCTCCACGTGTTCCCGTGTCTTACGCCGCCTTATTGAAATAAGCAAACGGCTCGTCTCGCCCTCTCTGCCGTCTGGCTTTCACTAAATATTGGTGACAGGTGTCTTAAAGCAGCCGAAGCAGCACCTGGACTTCATTATCCAACCAGACACAGCTGGAGCTGGGCCAGCTGCCAAACACACACACACACACACACACTCACACACACTCACTCACAGAGAAGACAGACACTTTGTCCGACACAGCTACACGTCTGTACACACTCAGTCTGTGGCGTGACTTGGTGCACAAACACACTTTGGTCTTCGCTCATGCTTGAGCCCCACACACACTCAAAAACACACACATCACACACACGTTTCTACATGCTTGTGCGAATTTGACCAAATACTGAGCTTGAAATTTTAAGCTCCACCCCACCACACAGAAATCCTCTTAGTTCACTAACCAGTGAGATTATCATCTCATCAAACCACTTCAACCCCTTGAATCATCCAGATGGAGCATCAGGATTAGTACCTTCATCAAAAACCAGCCACATCTGGTCCCATACATGTCTGCTGCCCCTGGCAAGGGCAGTTTTATTTCTTTATTGCTGTTACATTGTTGTATCTTTAAAGAGACAATGTGTAGTTTCTGCCATTATTCCCTGGAAACATCCTTAAAAACTTTGTGGAAAATGAATGAAATGAGGCCCGGTTGTGGAAAATTTGGCGGCTTCGTAACATATAACCACAAAACTTGGGTCTACAATACATGGGAGTGGGTCTCACAACGCCATATTTGGCACCGTGCTTCCTTCTGTGTGAGCTCTTGAGGACAAAACGCATTTACAGATTTGTAACAAGAGGTTACAAAACTTTCGTTGTTTTACACATTTACCTCTTCGCTTGTTGCCAGTGAAGAAAGAGAGTCTGAGGAGGTTGACCGATTTTTACCCCTAATGGCCATCCACTAGTAAGGTCTTACTCGAACACAAATATATTGTTTGCTTGCAATGATTTAGGTATCTACTGCCTCCTATCGACAGGAGAACTACCGACCTATCCCTCTCCTCCTTTTTCTGTCCAAAATCATTGAAAGGGCGACTTTCAAGCAGATCACAGAGTACCTCTCACAAAACTGTCTGCTTGACCATTACCAATCTGGGTTCAAAAAGGGCCACTCCACTGAGACAGCTCTGTTAGCAGTGACGGAATCCTTAAAAGAAGCTAGAGCGACTGCCAAATCCTCAGTGCTTATCCTGCTCGACTTATCGGCTGCATTAGACACTGTCAACCATGGCTTCCTTTTGTCCACACTCTCTAGTATGGGTATCACAGAGAAAGCGCACGCCTGGTTTGAATCGTACCTCACAGGACGATCATTCAGCGTATCTTGGCTTGGACAATCCTCTACCATGCACCATCTTGCCACAGGAGTCCCCCAGGGCTCTGTACTAGGACCTCTTCTCTTTGCCATATACTCCACCTCACTGGGTGAGATCATTCGATCACATGGCTTCTCCTACCACTGCTATGCAGACGACACCCAGCTCTATCTGTCATTTCCACCGGACGACCACACTGTCATGCCGCTTTGCGCTGTATAACATACGAAAGATCAGACCATACCTAACACAACATGCCACCCAGCTCCTGGTGCAATCTACTGTCATCTCCCGCCTCGATTACTGCAACGCCCTTCTAACTGGTCTTCCAGGCTGTACTGTGAGACCTCTTCAAATGGTCCAGAACGCAGCGGCGCGTCTGGTCTTCAATCAGCCAAAAAGAGCACACGTCACCCCTCTGTTCATTGAGCTCCACTGGCTACCGCTAGCAGCACACATCAAATTCAAATTGCTAACACTAGCATACAAAGTCCGAGACGGTACGGCTCCCATCTACCTGAATCCTCTTGCAAACGCTTACGTCTCGGCCCGGCCGCTCCGGTCATCACAGGATCGTCGGCTAGCAGTGCCTACACCACGCTCAGGACAATCCAGACTCTTCTCATGCATCGTTCCACAAATGTGGAATGACCTTCCAAGCACGACCAGAAAAGCAGCTTCTTTTTCAATTTTCAAGAAACTCCTGAAGACCCTGCTCTTCAGAGAGCATCTTCTAAACTAGCACCCTCCCTGCACCCGTCCCCCCTCTCTACTGTCCACTCCTTGTTCCCTCCTCTCCTGGATTCAATGTGCTGCCTCACTGTGACCTACGATTGACTAAAAATGGTTTGTTGTTGTTGTTGTTGTTGTTAGCCTCAAGGGCAACATGCTGATTATCACTTGTAAGTCACTTTGGACAAAAGCGTCTGCTAAATACATAAACATAAAATACCCACCGTCACTTTAAATCGAAAAGTAAAACTGAGTATTGCATTACTAAGTCCTGCAGCTGAGACCGGAGGAGGCACATTAAAAATAAAATACCAGGTCTGACACTCGATTTAAAATCACACAATGAGATGCAGAATTGTTGCCATGCATCATGGTCTGAGTTTAGGGGCATTTTATAATGAATAAAAATTATAGTTCATATTTGGAATACTAATGCAGAATGACAGATGTGCGGAAAAGAAAACAAGTGAACGTTTTACAGCATATGAGCCGTAGAAGTGGAATGCAGCCTTTTAAATGATACCGTCACTGTCGTGTCCCAAATTTTCTGATTTTTTTCCCCTTTATCCCAATTTGCAGGTGACCTGCCCATCAAAGAAGTGTTGAGAAGATTCTGCTCGAGGAGATTTTCCACATTCATCACTTCACGACCAAAAAGAGGCATAAATTTTATCGAATTCCTGGTGAGAAATCACATCTTTTGTCATTGTTGCCATCTCTTGGGTCGGAGTGTGAAGCAGTGTCCCAGGAATGTCTAACGTTCCTTGTTTTCTACAATCACAGTTCTCACACGGAACACACGTCTGCCTTTCTGCACGTTTCCAGCTCTGCAGGTTTCTGTGGTTTCAACGCAAGACTGGCTCGCTGCCTCGCTTTGGTCCAGACAGGGTCTTCCTCTTTCCTCCTCCACTGTGCTGTCGTTTCCCAGCAGCCGGGCAAAGAAAAGGAAAAAAGCAAACTGTTCCCTCATCTTCCCTGCTTCCTTCCCCGCTTTCCCCTGTGCCGTCCCCACCCTGACAGACCCTTGGGGCCCCTTGCCTCTCCTTCTTGTTTTTGTAGCATGCTAACCTTAGCAGACAGACAGACAGCACAAGTCGATCCCCCCGAGAGGCCTGGTTGGAACGGCGGGATGAGGCTGATATATCAGAGCTGAACATTTATGACCCAATGCTGGACCTCACCCAGACGCCGGTGGACACCTGTAATATGAATCTCATATGTCTCGAGTGAAGATGTTACAGGGTTTAACGACGTGGTGTAGCTGAAACAACCTCCGTAGGTCCACTGGTGGCTTTTTTATACAGTTATGAGTCAAATCATTGACGTAAACTCTGACAACGGAATGATGCTGAAGCAAAATGAGACTTCAGACTTTTGTTAGGTGGAAAACAGCGTTTATCATGCAGGTGTTGGTGCAATGAACGCTTCGCTTCAAGAGGATCGGCTACTGGGTGGAAATGTCCACGCTAAAGCAACAAAGAGTGCAAAAGAAAATCATCTGCAGACTACAACAGCCGTTTGAGGAATTACGCTTCTGTTTAGAGAACTCTCAGAAGGATTACAGGTGATTTATAGGTGTTGGCTGCTGTTTGTTTCCTCCTGTTTATTTTAGATGAAGAGCTCAGTTTGGTTTATCTCGGTTATGTTTCCTACTTGGTTTTTTTCTTGGCTTTTGACCGCCGTCTGCCATTGAGAATATTTCAGAAGTCTGTCCCGTTTATTTCTCAGGACCTGGAGGAACATGGGTCTTGGTTCTTGCCAGACATAAAAACCTCTGAATCTGTAAAAAGAAAAAGTAGATCCAACTTAAACAAAATTGCTTCAATTGGTAAAAAGCAATTTAATTAAGTTCATCCAACTTAAATTATTATAATAATTTAGGTTGGATAAACTTAATTAAATTGCTTGTTCCAATTGAAGCAAATCAATTAGGTTGATTAAACTATTCTCTTTTTCAGTGTACAAGGTGACACCTCCAAATCAACTCCACAAAGGGAAAACAAGGTCCTGAAGGCTGATTCACCGATCCTTGTCTTCATGGGGCTACAACATCGGGCTTCAAGGAGGTTGAACAAACCTGTAAATTGCAGCATGAAGCTTTGCTGCGAACTGCAGTTGTTGATTTTATTTGTTGATCGAACTATTTTATCTGTAAT